TTGTGCTCGAGCAGCATCAATGGAATTGCGAGTCGAAGGTCGGAGCACTGATCCGGACGAAGCTTTGGTAGTCTCTGTCGGGCGGCGGTGCAGGAGCACTGCTAAGAAGGCGCGCTCTTCAAAGCTCACGGCAACACGGGCCAACGAGTTTGACGTCACCCTCGCGCTCGCTACGTGAGATCGCTCCGCCAATCAGTTGGCAGCGCGGCCGAGACAATCGCGCCGCGCCACATCAAAGGCTCTCGATTGTTTTCCGTAAATTATAACCGTAGCACTTACTCGACTTCTCGTTATGAGTTGCGAACAAGTTCAATTAAGTCGCCAGGGCCTCTCACGCATCACCCGACCCTGCAGCCGGTGAAACGGCTTCCTACGCGCGAATCTCGTCAGCCTCCCCTTCTCTGCGCGCGCTCTCTCTCTCTCTCTCTCTCTCTCGCTCGCTCTTTCTCTCGCACTCGCACTTCTAGTTACCTTTCTTGAGCGCCCAGACAGCTATTATTTCCCATTGCTCAGTGTTCTAATTTTCTCGCGCGCTGCAGACCTGACAAAAGTCCCTTCGCTAGCCTGGCCGCTGCTCCTGGACGCTGCGCCCTTTCTCGGCGATGGGGTGTCTCAGTCTACGCTGGCAAACTTAATAACAACGGAGCCAGGCACACGCAGCAGCCTTTGCCTTCAGCGAATATAACACAACACGTGTCGCTTATGTCCATTTTCGACAGATAACTCAGCCCCCAAGATTTATCGCTTTTCAGACTTGAAATTCGCTCGCGCTAAACACCCCAAATGGAATTCCCGAGGCCGATCTTATCCGACGGGCTTAAATGCGCCGCGCTCAAATCTTATCTGAAGGAGCATCTGAGATTCCGAGAGCCCGTTCGGCCCGCCTCCCGAGCGAAATCATTCAAATCGATATGCGAAATGCAATTGTGTCGTAAGACTCCTTTACAAAATAAGCAAATAAAGCGCTGCGCGTGGAAATAGAACCGGATGCGAGAGAGAGGGAGAGATCGGTGCCTCCAATCTACGCGACCAACTCCATTGAACGCAGGCGGCGCTCCGTCCGACGTGAAACGGTGTATCTGCGTCGCTCGAGATTTTAATGTGCGACCTATTTATGCGCGACGCGAGACATAATAAAACTGCGTACGAGCACGCGAGCGCTTTCGCGTATGAACTTCGAACGGGAGATGGCACGCAGAGACGATCGCGCGCGAATAATAAATTGCTCTTTGACAAGGGTTGCGCAGTGTGCCCGTAACGTTTGTGAGAGAACTGCACGTGTTCGAGTGAGAAAGGGGGGGGGGGCGAAGGCAACCCCGAGGAGCAAATTTAAATGTCAAAATATGTAGTGCCACGAGCACAAAGGTGTATCATATCGTTATTAACATAATGCCAGTCGAGCGTGTCAATCATAGAGGGACACCGCGCGCGCACACTCGGGCTGTTTGCATTATGGAGGCGCGAAGAAAGGGCTAGTTAGTCGGTCACTTCTAGCCTTCAATGCCAAACGACATTGCCGAGAAAATAGTATCGTTTTGTAGTCGCGTTCGCTATACACGTTTCCAGCGCTTCGTGCCTCGCTGTTGTCTTCTCTTTTGACTGCAACCCTTGGCCTGCCCCTTCGTAACGCAAGGCCGTCTTCTTTGCCGCAGTCCAAAGTTATTATCATTGCCGAAAGAAAATGTTTCGGCGTTCGGCCTGGTATTCTGAAAAGCTGGAGTAGCGCGATTCGTGCGAGCACTCGAATCGACGTCAATTCGCGCTTCCCTCAATAGATCCATCATCGTCCCAATAAAAGATCAGAAGCCCGTCGAAGCGTAAAAAGCGGACGCGCGCGTCTCTTGCATAAAAGCCAGCTTTGTACTGCTGCATTCGAGCAGATGACCACTGTTAAACGTGCGCTACTATGCGCCTCGTGGGACAGTCTTCGACAAAGCGATTGTGTCGGCGGTAGCCGATCGTGGCGCGCGGTACACGCGCTCCAATTTGAACTTGGAAAATCCAAGGGAACGCACGCTGCTACGTGGCGGGTCAGCTCGGGGGTAACCCTACGCCTTGGGAACCTATCGATTTAAGAAGCAGAAGAAGTATGCGAGTGCACTTGCGCGAGACGCAATTATAATTCGAGGCTGCTGCTGCTTTGGCATTGTCGAGGCACTTCCGGCATGCCAGCGCGACCAGCACAGCTCACAGAGTTTGACAAGGGCTCGGACAATGTCCGGACGCCGCGACAATGTCTCCTTGGTCTGCGACACGCCGTGTAACTCAGAGTAATAGTAACCCGGTATTTGTAGCGACCTTGCTCTCCGACTGCATGCGGCGCGCGGGGAAACGCGACGCCTCAACGAGGATTTGCCTAATCGACCACCTTCCCGCGGGAATCGTTACGCCCAGTCCGGGCAACGTCCTAACGAGCTTTCTTTGGTCACGCAAAAGTACCGTTGCTACTGCTTTCCATTGGACGATCGGACATTTTCTCACACGAGCCTTCCATGTGAACGAAAAAATAGCGAAATCGAATGAAAACAAATTATACGCTTCGCGGACGACTGAATCGACACTCGTAACAGATTTTTTTTCATTCTTCTTCACCAAGTTGTCGGAAACATAGATGTCGATGGGACACAAGGCAAACGACAAAAATAGGACAAACAGATGGGATAACGAGAAAGAGAGAGAGAGAGAGGGAGAGAGAGCGCCCGCGAGAGAGAACACGCGCGACGCGCAGTTTTATTAATGACAGTGCAAAGAGAGCGAGAGAACAGGCCAGCCGACCGTAGGCACTAATTCAACGAGAGAAGGAGGCGAGAGCGTGGGCTCCTTTTGAAGTGGCTGCTGCGGTGGCGCAGCTTTGTCCGAACTCACCATTTATATAATTTGTCAGCGGCAAACGTCGCCGATATAGCACGCGGTTTTTCCGCACGATTTGGCAAAAAAGTGCTCCGAGTCATCCCTCGGTCTGGCGCCTGAAAAAGCATACGTCCGCGCGAGCGTGTCCTACAGGCGGTTCGCGAAATGTAAGTGAAAGATAGATAGAGACGAGGGAGGGGGCGTTGCAATGATCCGGAAGTAACGACGCGTCGAGGGTCAAAAACGACATAATTATTTGGGGAGAAAAGAGGCTTTCAAGTCAAAAGTGTGCTCTCTATTTGTGTGCGGAAAAGCGCGACTAGATAGAATTCCGAGTTTCGAGGATACGAATTTGTTTCCGCACTCGCACAATGGAATTTGAAAGAGCCAGCTGTTGCACATTTGAACGGTCAATTATCGAAGAATCGACGAGCTGCATCCCATTGAAGCTTGGCAAAGGTAGCCTTATTCGATCGATCAGTCGCCGCGAAAGGTGAGCGCACCTGAGCAGAGCGAACGCAGCCGAACGGTCGTGTCGAGCAGTGCGCCAAGTTCGAGATGAAAGGTCTGGCCGCGATGCATCCACGGCAAAGGAGAACAAAGTAAACGAGCTTAGCGAAGCAGGCGTCTCGGCGCGGATTGATCATTTGGCTTGGCGCGCGCGACTCGAAATCATCCGGTAAATTGGCGTCGTGCCCTCTCTCGCCGGCAGACTCTATCCTTCTGGCGCGGCGTGCACGAGGGGTCTGCGGAGCGAGTAGACTCACGCGCGAGCGCGCTAAGCCCAAGATTGGTTTAGCCGCCACGGAGGCACGCCGCCGTTTGATTACGCGTCAACGAGCTAAACGTACCCGCAATGCGAACCCCTCCGCGAAGGCGCGACCCCCTTCTCGCCCTTCCAGTCCCCGTGGAAGAGGAACAAATCTGTCCCCGCGCGCGAAAGATAGGCGCGCAGCAGGTGAGAAGTAATGCCGATACGATACCCGCCGAGACTCGTCGTACGCGCCGTTGCGCGATGCATAAGCAGCCAGTTTTTGGGGAAAAAACGTCGGTTTGCAGTGGGTTTCGCATGGCTGGCTCCCCTCGTCCTTTTCTCAATGCGAGAAAAGGATTAAGGGTAGAAGAGCGAGCGACAGAGAGAGAGAGAGAGAGACACGAAGGGACGACCATTTTCCCCGAGCCATCCCTTACTTGCATCTCGATAGCCGTGTAAACTGCAGCGCGCAGTAGAGGCGATGACAACGACATCGATCGTGTGAAATTGGCGAAATTGGCGCGGCGAGCTTGATAGATCGGCCGAGCGGAGGGGTAGTTTGGTTTAATCTCTCCGGTAATCGCCGCGGCGCGCTCGGCTCGCGACAGTTGGCAGTCGCGCTCTCTCTTTTTGCAGCGGAGATGGATGGAGCCATTTACATTTTGTCAGTGCGACATGCGCGCCGCTGGCCAGTGCTATCATATCTATCACCACCCTCTCCCGCCGCTGCCGCCTCACGCGGGCGCTCCGCAACGCAGCCGCCGCCGCCGCCGCCGTCGCCGTAGCAGCCGCCGCCACCGTTTCACGCTCGAGCGGAGATCACTGACCCAAATGAAAGCCGCTCGTTCGATTTTCCCGCACCTATCTCCCGAATATTCAATTCCCCGAAGAGTGTTATTATGCTACCTGCTAATAGAATATTGAACAAAGGCGAGGGCGCTTTCTTCGCGCGTCTCTCGGGCCGAGTCAGAAGTTTCCGAGGCAAAAATAAAGAAAAAAAATAGAGGAATTGATGTCCAGGAGCGCGACTGACAGATCTGTCAACACGGATGACACCTTGTGCGCGCCGCGGCGGAAAGCGAGAGCGCCCGTACAACCAGGTGGTCGCCGGCTCTCTTTCTCGTTGACGACTCAATGTCGCGCAGGCATCTGCTGGATAATACTCGGGGATTAAGCCGCGAGAGAGCGAGCACGGGGCGAATTCCGGCGACGAGTCTCTTCGTTATAAACAGATCGATCATCTTTCAAACGGCTCCAGGCCTCGCGACTAGCCTGCTCTGTCGTCGGCCCGCGAATACACGCGTGCCTCCTCGTCTCGCTTCGCCGCGCAGATCGTATCGACAATTCGTTGCACGACATTGCGCGTTCGATAGTAATAAAACCGCGCCATACTCACTTCGCTGGCGATCGAAGGACTGAAATCCGGGTTGTACCAGTCCTGGTGTGGGCCAAACCTCGTGCCCTCGGCGATTTCCTTGCACGCTCGGACGTACTGGATCCCGGACAGCGACTGACTTATCTCGACGTTGTCCGGCACTGGAATTGGCCAGTCGGATGACAGCCGGCTCTTTGCATTCACGGGCTCCCGTTTTATGGCATTCACTACCAAGTCGAAAGGTTCTTACAAGCGCTTTTGCATTTAATCTTTTAAGCTGTCATGTTGATTTAAAGTACAATTGACAATTGTGGAGGGACTGCTTTTTAGAAAGATTTTTTTTTAATCAAAAACGAGTAATAACTGCTTTTCTATTAATTCTTTATTGGCTTTCTAACTTTGAAATGTTTAAAAGCAATTTCAAGACTAATCCTTCAATGTGATTTTAAAATTAAATTGATGTTCAAGCAAACATAAATTCTTTTTTTTAATTAAGTTTCGGTTACTGCAAATTTATTGAGCATTAAAATAAGAAAGAAAATCGATGTGTGGCAATTCCCCACTATGATAACCGCATTAAGATGTTAGCAATTTCAAAGAAATTTCATATATTTTTTAATTACTTGTCATTTTCGGAACATTATCTAATCATAAGCATCATAGGCTACAAGATTACAAAATTTATGATAAAAAATAGAAAAATGGTATTTTTCTAGAATATTTATTCATAAACAATAGTTGGATCAGTTTCACTGTGATATTTATATTTTCGACATTTGCGGATTCTGCTAGTGTACCAATTTTTACCAGTAGCGCGTGGCACCTTTGACGATAATGTTATTAAATCACGGAACAAATCGTAAAGTTGCTGAAAATGATTACGAAACTTTTGAGCATCCTCTTGACTAATTACATTTATCATAAATTCTTTGATTCCTACAAAACTCTCATAAATGTAATTTAAATAGTAATTGTCTTCGCAATGAACAATTTTGTAAGAATATTGATTGATAAACGTAATTCTGTTTGGATGAAATGAAAAGGAAAAGAATTGGAAAGAAACCAAAAAAGAAAAAATAAAACGCAGAAAAAACTAAGAAAGAAGCGGAATTGTTTTTCTCTGAATACTTTTAAACACGTAATAAAATCACGAGAGCAGTCGATAAATGAAAATTTACGCAGTCATAAAGTGGGCCATATAACGAGTCAAAATTGAACAAGGGAAAGTGCTCACGCTGTTCGTCGTCGTAATCCCTCTTGAAGTATTTCTTCGTTTGGAGGGCGTGTTTGTCACTAATAAAGTCCCAGGCGTCGAGTGGATAGTCCTCGAACGGACGCTTGTAAGACGGCTTGTGTGGATGTGACAGGCCGGCAACGTTATTAGGCGGCGGATGCCGCAACCTCGGCGGCGAGTACGAAGCTTCGCGAAACACCTCCAGGCTTCTCTTACTCCTGGAGATTGTGTCCGGCACGTGATGATGCTCGCTCAGCGTACCGTAGAGCCCGACTTGACCGGCTGGCCCATTGCTATTGCTGCTCGACGAACGCAACGAACTGTTCTCCATTTCCGCGCTTTCGCCGCCCCCGCTTCCACCTGCTGTTTCGCCTTCGTCGCTGCTTCCTACAAATGCGGACAAAATCTTTATTTTTCTCTCTATCTCTCTCTCCGAGCACACAAGCGGCCGCTTACGTCATCTTGCATGTGATTTTCGAACACGATACTTTATGAGTCATGCCGAATCGAAACAAATGAGATCCCGCGTGGAAAAAATTCGAACAGAGAAAGTTTGGGCTTTATCTCGCGACGCAGTCTGTTTACACTTCTATCGTTCGGTTTAATGACTTTGCCAGAAATCCTAGACACAAGTGTGCGAGCGCTGGTCTTTCGTCGTACGCAGTCCTAACACGTGCAGCGCAACTTTTGACGCCTGTTGACACACGATACGTGCGGAGTATTTAGTTTTTATGGATATTCTTCGCACGATATCCTACTGCGGCTTTGAGTTTTCAATTCTTTTTCTCGAGCTTGAACTTCGCTTTTGACGATACTATCGAGGCAGGAAACTGGAAATTGATTTATCTCTGCACATACTTTCACGCGATATGCAACGGTATTTGATGCTTCTATGATCGCATAATTGTACGCTTATCAGCAAATCTTTAAATGCTGCGCTAATGACAATGTACTGCCAACTGCTGCTGTGATCTTGGAAAAATTCATTGTACAAAGTCTGAAACCACAAGTTGTTTATCTTGATTCGCGCAACTCGAGCCTGAAATAAAACGGATTCTCGAAATGAAATCGACCGGATTGTGAAAATCTCGTGAAGAAAAGAGTGGCATAATCCGCTCGAGGGTGTCGTTCGACATGAACACTCGGAATCAACTTAGCACGATGATATTGCAACAATATTAAGAAGCCCTCGAGATGCTCTTGAGCTCCCGTTGGGATCGTACACGCCCGCGTTCGTGTACACATATCAAGAGTGAGAGACTATACGGTGAATCCAAGGGGAGAGCGACTTTTACTGTCTCGGTTTGAGAGGCTGCTCGGCATGATAGTCGCTCGATTAGCTAGAAGTGGCGAGATTAGGTCTTGACAATGTTGACACGTTGGTGGGAAAGCAAAGCTCATATTCAGCCCTCGAATCTTTCAGCGATCTAAACGGTCAATTGCAATGGAATGGAATTGCCAAGCAATTAACAAAAGAATTGATTAAAAGAGTGCACAATTGTGTTGCGAGGCCGCAAGTCAGATCTAACCTCATTTCACTGTGTGAAAAAGCATTAATTAGCAGTCAATCTTTGCATTCGCAACGCGCCGCAGAGGAAGATGTTATCGTGCAGCCCTTCCTTTTCCTCTCACAAGGCATTTTTATTTTGTCGTGCAATACATATAAACACACGCAGAGACATGCGTGCAGCCAAACGTGTCTTCGGCTATCAAGAGTCGTAGATAATTAGGCGAGTCAAGGGATCGCAGTATTGCGCTAATGCAATCTAAATTCACACGCGGCGACGCGCACAAAACCGCATGCACCACCACAGGACGTCCTGCCGATACGACGTACGAAAAGATGCCGTTCGGCATGCCAATTATTGACAGCAGCGCGCGAGCGCCTTATCGCCGTGCACCTTACCTTATCGTCCAAGAGCTTGCCACTGACGACGAGTGACGAAGCGATGTGCTGAATCAGTCGGCAAAATTGATTCGGTCGATCGCGCACGGAAGCCTCGAAAATGCTAATCATCGGCCAAGCGCGCAGAATGCACACGTATAATAAACAGGCGAAGAGGTTATCTCCAAGAGCGATGGGGGAAAATAGTCTGCGCGAGATAGTACGGCGCATGGACGCGATGGCCATTGATAAGCTTCCGATTATTTTATCGCGACGCCGAGATAGCAATAGACTCGAAGGCAAAGCTTCATTCGGACTCACCGCTGCTCTTGTAATCGACCATCGCCGAGGTGGACGACAAGTCCAGGCACGCCATGACTGCAGGCCGCTTTCGAGCACCACAACAATATAACAACAACAATAAAAATCACTGCCCCCGAGTCACAAGTGCACGGCGCCGGGAACAAGCAGAGGAGAAAGATTCGACCGGCTCCATCGGCGAGCGACTGCGTTGAAGGTACGACGAATGCTGCGTGCGTGCGTGCGTGCGTACGCGCGCTCAGCCGGCAACTGAGGAGAGAGAATCTGTCGCGCAGGGCCCGAGAGAGAGAGAGAGAGAGAGAGAGAGAGAAAGAAGAGGATGGCACACGCGGATTCTCCCTCGGGACACGAGAGCTGCTCTCGGTGTCGGGGTGTGGCGAGGATCCGTGTTCCGGGATTCTGGTTGGCCCGCGGGCGGAGCAACCCCTATCGCATCGTATCCCCACTACCGACCTCGCAGCCACCTCTTCTCTCGCGCGCCTCTCTCTTTCTCGCCAAGCGCGGTTACCGCGCACAGCATCCCTCGGACAGACGACGACCATGTGGGGAGAGCCGAACCGAGCGAGACAGAAGTTGTGTGCGCGGGCGGAGGCGTCCTGCGATAAGGGCGCCCGACACTGATCCTATAGCTGCCGCTGCTAGCTCGCGGTCGCCCAGAGAGGATGTTCGATACGACCGAATCTCAAAGCTGGAAAAATAATAACGCTGCTATTTTCGACGTCGAGAAAACGCTTTATGGATTACTTTGGTGCTTGTAACTTTAATTCTCGGGTCATTTATTTTCCCTGACAAGCGTTCAACTGTTGAGTTCAATTGAATTTATACTTGATTTTTATTCCATTTCTTTCTCACAAGTCTCATGGTCATTGGCTTTTCATTCTCGTATGTTTCACGACATTATTTAAAATAATCAGATTCAATGCAACATTAACTTCGTGAATTATTTACGCGGACAGCGTGATTGAATGTTGTAATTTAGTCGTAGAATGAAATTCAATTCAGAACCGATGTTTAAAAACGCTATGTTAGAAACTATTATGCAAATGATATTGTACGGTAGGAAGTATAAAAAAAGGTGATGAAACGAGGGAACGAACAAATCATATCACGAGCGAAATTGATATGAAATCTAATACTCGACAGCAGCTTCCCCATGCGTCTCCAAATAAACACAATGAGTTTGACTTTTTTTCTCCTCTCAAGAACCAGCACAACATCTTAACGAACCACTTTGAAAAGTTTGATGAGCGAGCGACACATTTTTTGTCGGTAGGTTCAGCTTTTCTCGTCTTTAGTTTGTTGTTTTTTTTTCTTTTTTTTCTTTTTTTTTTTGAATTTTACAAGGAGCGGAATCCGGAATATCGCGTACTCGCACCGGGTGCGAGAATAAGAGAGACCACGGCGAGTTTTCTCTCTCTACGTGGGGTCGCGCCGGTCAACGGGACGGACCCCCTCGCGTGTACCTTACTTGCTTGCGCGCGGAGAGCTACTTTGCCGCGAGGCGACGACGTGTCAAGTACGTTGACTTTGGACGTCGACTTCGACTTCCCCCTCCCCCTCGCTACCACGGAGCATTCTCTCGTTCTGCGGTTTTATAATATCTACGGCTACAACACGAAATTTTCAAGCTCCAGTTTCCGCCTTTGCTTCAACTGACATTCTCCGGAGGCAGGGTGGAAAAAAAGTTCTCGTGACAGGCAGAAAGTCGGACTAGATTGCATCCTCGTTGCGCGACGGGTTTGCTATTCTACAGTTACGGCAAAGAAAAGAGAAAGAGAGAGAGAGAGAGAGAGAGAGAGAAAATTTCAACGACTTATGGTAATTTTCAAAGCTGAGATTCTGGAATTCGAGCAAGCAACGAATGCTGTTAACATCAATTGATCAGTGGCGGAACTTGAATGATCGAAGAAGATAAGAATTCAATGAATTGCGCAGGATGACAAGTGAAAAGTACGTTTGGGAAGGCAAGATTTGGCATGCCTTCGTAGCTCGCGCGACAAAAGCTACGTAATTCTAATCTATAGGGCGAAAAGCCATAAAGCTGCGCCGCGGCAATATACGGCAAGTGAAAATTCGTCTTTGGCCCGAGTGTCCCGCGTAGGAACAAATCATCATAAGGCAAGTGCGCCTCGGGCCAGTTTCAACGCGGAAAAGCATGTGTCGCGCTTGCTTACAGTCATATTATGCTTTATAGCCCAGCGCCGCTGTCGCGCACGCCCTATCCGTCCGCAGCCAGTGCTATTTGGAAGTGTGATTTACAGCAGTGTGAAATAAGCCAATATCACGTAACCTTCGCAGACGATTCGATCCCATGAACAATCCGCAGCGTCTATAACATTACCCACGAGTTAGTAGCGAATAGTTTCAATGTTTAGCCTTGCGAAATCATTAATTTTCTCGGTGTCCGACTCGTGATCGAGTTAACGGTTGTTCAAGAAGTAAGAAAGAGTTCCATTGCTTGGTAGCGATTGAACGAATGATAGCTATTAAAAATTGATAAAAAAGAGAGACCAACCGCGAAAGGTGCGAATGAAATCAGAGGTGTACGAATGGCTTGGGCCCAGTATTAATGCGATTCTTCGCGTCAGTGGCACGCACATGACCTCGCAGCCCGACAGAATATCCCTTGAGGTATCAAAGGGTTATCGCAAGGCAAGTATCGCGAGGGCGAACCGAGATAGAATATTGGATGGGAGGAGAGAGAGAGCAACTTCTGACACGTAATGAGAGAGAAGGCGTTGGCGGCGGCGGTGGCGTCGGCAGCCACGCTCTTGCAGCTTCAAGCTATTAAACTGACAGAAACACTTGCCACCCCCGAAGCCTCGCTACTTCATTCAGTTCACCCCCGCTCAGTGCTCTCTCGCTCTCTCGCGACGCGCCCGAGTTATTAATATTTTTCACACAACCCCCAAATTGTCTGCTCGGCGCCTCGCGACGATCGGCGAGTTCGTTTGGCAGGCGTGCATTTGACTGCTGCGGTCAAAGGGCCTCGCAGGCGCGCGTCTCTCGCTCTCTCACCTGACTACTTTTTGCTCGGCTTGGCTCTCAATCGAGAGCACGAAGAGGGGTGGCGGTGGATCGAGAGCGAAAGAGCGACCGTTGGAAATTGAAAGATGGCGAGCGAGCGCCGAGAGTCGAGAGGATCGTCGAGTGGAAAATTAGCGGGCCGAGAACGACAACAAATATCAAGCCTGGAGATCGTCGAGCGAGAGAGAGAGAGAGCGAGCGGGCGAGGGGGGAGATAGATAAAGAGGTCGAGCTCTCGGCTTTACAAGCAGATGACTGCTCAACGGTTGCTGCTGCGCGAGTGATCTGTAATTTGCTCGAGTCGAGGTCCGCAGTCAGTGGGTCGGCGTCCGCTAATGCTCATTGAGCGCGCGGCGCGAAAATAAAGGCGCGATGCCGCCCCCCCTGCCAGCAGCCTCCATCGAGAACTCGAGACTCTGCAAGAGCGCGATTGTGATCGGGGACAATGGGGCGCACCGTAGCCCGCGACTCCTGGCCCAGCACCGGAAGTCAGCGGAAGACGATGAACCAACGGAAGAGAGCCCGGAGCCCGGCACGCCTCCCTCCGCGTACTCGCAGCTTGTCTCGCTCGCAGCGCAACACGCCTCTCGACTTAACGATCTCTGTTTTTACCTGCAGCTGCCCTTCTTGCCTTGCTCCGCGTCTCCCAGTCTATTAAGACGAACGTACGTTCGAGGCCATCGCCGGCGCACGCGTCAATGCCCAAACAGACATGCCTCATGCGACTTTTTATTGTCGAGTGCTCGCGCGTGTAATCAGGACAAAGAGGACCCGGGGAACCCGTAGCTGCAACAACGGAATAATTATCCGCGCAATATTTGCCGTCGCCGGGCCAATTGCGCGCTCTTTACAGAGGCACGGATGTGTTGCCGGCGCGCACGGCTCGCGAAAGCGAGATCACTCGCGCGTGCCACCGGGACAGCCGGCAAATATTGGTGCATTAACAATGCAGGCTAATTATGTTTTGGTAGCGGGCGTAGCTTCCGAGTTTGGCCGACGCCCGCCCGGCCGCCCGCACCCGGCCCATTGTGATCGGGGCTTCGGCACACAGCCGCGGGCATCGCCCACTGCTATTCTGGCGCACTGTGCTCGGCCGCTGCTCTGCCCTCAGCCGCCGAATTAATTTTATCTCGTGCGTCCGCCGTTCATTTTTAATTAGACCGCGCCGCCGACGCTTTCACAGCACCGAACACTACGCGTATATCCGCTTTTTCCGTTTCTTTTTCCTTTTTTTATCGACACGTAGCGCCGAGTAAGGTGGCGCTGTTGACGTTTGAATCAAACCAAACGTCACGATGCACGAGTACGCGAATCATGACGTCAAAGTTCATCATATTAAAGTGCGATTACAGAGCGAATGTTTGCTGAAGGGCAAAAGATACAGTGTAGCTTTCATCGAGTAGAATACAACATATGACCCGAAGATATGTACGTTTACGCGCACGCCACCTAAATTTATTTGCATTGGACACGCGAGCATTACAAGGGGCTGCGCGTATGCGCGCGTGTTTGTCCGTCGACTGAGCTACGCTACTCGCACGCCTCTGTGTGCATGTGTGTGTGTGTGTGTGTGTGTGTGTGTGTGTGTGTGTGTGTGTGTGTGTGTGTGTGTGTGTGTACGCACGCAAGACGCTGCTGAACAGCAGCCACGCGCCTAATCTCTATCCAACAGATTTCTCTCGATATTCGGTAATAAAGCCTGCGGCTGCCTCTGTCGGGCTTAACTCACCAAGGGTAGACGCGCACCAAACTTTCGGAAGAAGGGGAACAGATGTTTTTGAGAGCGTCGCGCGCTCTCTCTCTCTCTCTCTCTCTCTCTCTCTCTCTCTCTCTCGCTTCTACAGCTACTCTAACATCGTAATCCATGTTCCGCAACATCGTAATTAAGGAGAAATGGAACTGCGCTTCATCATAACTCATCGGCCAGATCTCTTCTGCCTCGGCGACTTTTTTCCCTCACCTCTCTTTGCCACTGCCGAGGAATTTTCGGCGATACGATCGCCGCCGCGACGATAAATCCACCAGCCGA